AAAAAAATCCAAATAAAAAAATTAAAAATGAAAAAAAAAAAAAAAATAAAATAGGAAGTATTTTAACTTAAAAAAAAAAAATATTACAAAATTCTAGGAAAAAAAAAAAAATCTATCATGAAGAAAATCTATTTTTTTATTTATTTATTTATTTTTAACCATCCAAGTTGTCAGTTGTATCCGCTTCTTTTGTACTGTTAGACTGTTCAACTAACTCTGAATAGCTAGTCAATTTTTTTTCTTTATTTATCTCCCCTGATTTATTCAAGTTTGAAGGAGAATAAACATTGAACTTAATTCCAGTTCTGCTTAGTAAGCTATGCATAACTAGTCTTATCTCAGAATTCACCTCTTGTAAAAGTAAGTTTATAACTTGCTCATAAAAGATTGGCATATTAATTTTAAACTGCTCATCATCAAAATCGACCAATGCGTTTAGTATAGTAACTACAACAGGTCTCCATGCAGTGACGTTTCTTTGTTTTGTTTCAGGTTCTAATGAATTGTAATGACATAAAATATCAAAACTTAATCTAATATTATTGCAAAAAAAAAAATTTACATTAATAATTTCCTTTAATATTTATATTTACGGTATCAATCTTTTTGCAATATCGTTTCTACTTCCTCTCCTTTCCTCATTAGTATCAGAATACATTTTTATTAAAATTGCAATGTAACTCGTAACACTTGTCGTTTCTTGCTTTAACAAATTGGGTAACTGCTTCATATATCCTAGTTTGAACAATTTATTGCGTAATTCCATGTCATTGTTAAAGCTGCTTGCGAAACGATAACTTCTCTCTAAACAATCAATCAACAGAAATAAGTGTGGTGAAGATAGTGATCTGTAAACTTCTTCATTTTTTCCCAACGCCAGTACTTCGTGTAAAGTTTGTATCACCAACAAGTGCAATACACATTTTACTATTATAGAGTGAAAATCTTTTTTTTCTGGTATCTTTCTATTTTCAATTTCAGATTCACTAGCATTTTCGATATATTCTGGATTTGATTTTGAATCTAAAAACAGTGCGTGTGGTGTTGTAACTTTGAATAAGTTAACAAACATATTACAAATTTTTTCCCAAACTTCTTCATTTAATTTTAAAACATTATCCTCAATAAATTGGTGTAGACAAGTGGAACCTATTCTAGCCAATGTTTCATTTTCTATGATAAAAAAAAAAAAACAAAAGGATAAAAAAAAATGTTAAAAAATAAAAAAAATTTTTTTTTCACTTCTTTATTTATTTTTTTTTACCTTGAGTCATACAAACTGCCAATAATTCCAATACTCCATCAACTAAAAAACTTAAGGTTTCAAAATAGTATCCAAAAAGATCAATAAACTGACGCAATGCTTGAATTAAAGTTGTAGAAAGCCAAACTGACATATCTTCCTTGTTTGCAAACTTTGTATGTTCTTGCCGAGAAAGTTTTAAATCATCAAAGATAGGAAATAAAACTCCTTTGGAAATAACTTCCCAAAAATCACGCGAAAAGTTGGAACCGTGAGTTTTTAAAGAATCAAACAAATATGTTAAAGCTCTATAAATTTTTTTTTTTCCAGTAAACAAAATTAAAAAAAAAATTTTTTTTTACCTTGTCCTAACTTCCAGGTCGCAAGTCATAATTATTTCATAGAGGCCAAATAAGGTTGGGAACCAAAACTTGATGTTGGGATCTTCATCAGTGCTAATTTTTTGTATTCCAGAATTTGGTTGCAAATTTACATTAACATAAGAAGCAGGAATTAAAGGTGTAACTGGAGAAGCTTGGTGAATTAAACTTTCTTGACTTTTTAAAATTTCAATGGAAATTCTTCTCAAACTACCAAGATTTTTGTTTACAGGTAAAGTTGCAGTATTCGAATTATTTAAATCGTTCAACTTTTGAATTTCTGTCAACTTCGTTACAGATTGTCTAATCATTTCTATTGATTGTAAACTTGTTTTAGTAAATCTTCTGTTTTTACAAAACTCCACCAAACATGAAATAAAATCAGGAAAAGTTAAATTATTTACAACATTTTCAAAATTGCTCTTAAAAATCAATTTTACAATATCAAATGACAACAAGACAATTGATTCTAATTAAAAAAAAAAAAAAAATTTTTTTTTTAATATCAAAAAGTAATTTTGTAAATACCATGAGATTCTTTAGCTGCTTTGGAAAAAGCAGAAAAGAGGGTTTTCCAACCTGATTTCATGCTCTTTGCTTTTGCCTGAGTCATTTGTTGTAAACAAGCCAAAACCATATCTTTTATTTTTGGATCTGGATTGTTCCCTAGGATATACTCAAAAGGTTTTAAAAAATCCTTTTGAAATTTAAAATTTGGCAATTCTTCGATTTCAAGAAATTTCATCGACAACTGCCTCATCTTGTCTAATGCAAAAAAAGTTACTATAGAATTAGGATGGCAACCAACTTGATTGAAATGTTCTCCTAAAATAGACCAAATCTGGGACCATTCAACTCTAATACGTTTCATGTTATAATATGAAATTTCTATTAAACGCTGCAGTGAATTCATACGAGGATGCAACGTATCTCCAGCTGGGGAAGAGATTTCATCCCAAGAAACTATACATAATGCTCTTACAAAGTCCACTATTGCTTTTCCAGTTAACTTAATACTTGTGGTGAATATTCTGTCAACTGCAATTGCTAAACTTTGTGAGCTTGATTCAGGGTTTAAGTTATTAACGGATGTTGTACTTGATCTAGAATTTTTTTGTTGATCTGAAGAAGTTCTATGTTGTTGAAAAAAAATAATCAAAATTAGGTACAAAAAAAAAAAAAAAAGTACCGTTGAACCCTTTGTAATTCCAATTCGCCATCGCTACCAACAAGTTGCAATTTTTCGAGTTGAGAAATACATAAAACTACTTCCCTCCAGCTTTCGCCTAAACTGTTGCCTTCCATATATGCAATTTCTAATAAAACTTTAATCGACTCTAAATTTTTACTCTTCATTTCATTTAAGCTGGTTAAATAAGTAAATTTAGAAAAAGTAGTAATAAAGGCTTTTCTTTCTAAATCCATATCAAATAGGCAACAGATTCTACAAGCTAATTTAAAACCTTCCAAACTTAACCAAATGACTGCAATATCATCAGTTTCTTGCAAAGGCGTGCTGATTCCTGTTAAAACGGACATCCAAATTATTTGGAACATAGATTTGACATGTTCATAATGGCTTGCACTGTAAAAGGATGAAACAGCCTCCTCCTCTTGATCATTTTTTGTAACTTTTTTGGTAGATGATGATTTGGTTCTAATTGTGTTAAACATTGCTTCAGTTTTTAAAGCCATAGTTTCATTAGCAATGGCTATTTGAGCGATCTCCTTTTTAGTTCTATACCTTCCAACGTCAATATTGTCTTTTCCATCTTCAAATTTATCATCATATTTTGCTAATTGTTCATCTTTCAAGACAATTTCATTAGTAGCTATTTCATCAAAAATGCTTTCTAACATTTTTGGATCTATATCTTTTCCCTCATCAATTCCTCTGTTATTTCTTAAAAACTCTGCCTTTGTCATTCTTTTTTTTACTTGAGGGTTATACAAGTCTGTGTTTAACATAATTACAGAATAAGAGAGAACATATGCAGTATCTAACACATCGTTAATAAAAAATAATTTTTTTAATTCGCAGGTATACCTGCAGAATTAAAGCTATCGGGATTTCCTTTTACATATCTTTCAGCAAATTTTAACATAAACCTATCGATTTTTTGTGCTTCTCCAGGCAATCTAAAACTTTGTAGGAAAGTTCTCAATGCAGTAACGAACGGTTGATTTATAAAGTCTAGCTCATCAACAAAAGCGTGCATTATAGCAATATTTTCTTCTTCTCTACAAAAAAAATAAAAAAATTTTAAAATACATTTTTTAATATTTTTTTTTACCCTTCTCCAAGAAATTCACCAATCATGGTCTTATTTAAACCATCATTATTTAATAAAAATTTAGCTATATCTCTTGGGGTTCTTGCTGGAATACAACTTGAATCTAATAAAAATTGTAATCCCTTGTGGAACCAAAAAATAAATAATTTAAATAAAAATAAAAAAAACCTTTTTTGGTTTAAAATTAAATCTCTTTATGCCTTCAATTAAAACTTGTTTACGATGTTTCATATTTTCAAATGCCA